GCGGCGTTGGGCAGATCTGTAAGCTGCGCGGGTGGTAGGCGCAATGCAGTTATGAAGGAAGAGCTCAACAGATGCACCCAGCTCGGCGATGTCCACTGTAGCTGAGTGTTGAACACCAGTGACCGTAGTTCTTTGGGTACGATGGCTGGAACTGGGGATGCCTGGGGATTTAAGGAGAAGAACAGGGGTAGTTTATTGCGTGACAAGGCATCAGCAGATGTATTTTGTGCCCCCGGGAGATGCCTTGCTGTGGTGTGAATGCCTAGTATTGCCGTTACTAGTGCCAGAATTCTGAGTAAGTGCGACAGTGATGGGTCCCTTGCTGACCCACGGTTGACTGCCATCACTACTGCAGCATTATCACAGAGGAAACGGACATGACCTCCCGCCCAATGTGCACCCCATAAGACGGTGGCCACCACAATCGGCACCAGTTCTTTTGGTGCAATGGAGATATTCTTCGCCCATTCCTCCGGCCACACCAGCTGGAACCAGCGGTTGCCATGAAAGGCGCCACACCCCCAAGAACCGGACGCATCCGACACTACATACCATGAGGGTTCTGGAGGTGGAGAAACACTTGTACCGTTCCACACCTTGAGGAACGTATTCCACCAGGCAAGGTCCGCCCGTGCCCTTTGGTTTAGATGGACCCAATGATCCAGCTCAGACACTGACGCTGCTGCGTCGATAAGGTTGCGCAGGGATGCCCTTCCTGGGCGGACCACGGAAGCCGCGTGGTTTAGTAAGCCAATGAGAGAGAGCAGCTCACGTTTCTTCCCCGAGCTGCGTGGGGCAGTGGGGTAAGGACCCTTCATCCACTGGGCGTTGGTGCTGCTAAGCCTTGTTAGCTTCTCTTGGGGGAGGCATAGCTGCCCCTGCACTGTATCCATCTCTATCCCCAGGAAGGTAAGTGAGGTTGTTGGGCCTTCAGTTTTCTCTGGGGCAATTGCAAAGCCGAGCTCTTCACAGAGAGAGATGGTGGTGGTTAATGCTTGTTGGCACGTGGGTTGACCTGCTGGGCCTAGTACCAAAAAATCGTCAAGGTATGGCGAATGCAATTCCTCTTCTGTGCAACATCCACATCATTGTATCCGTGAGTGCGGAAAATATCTTGGGGGCTGAGTGGAGCCCAAACGGTAGGGCCCTATCAATGTAGATTGTACCCCTCCACGACACTGCCAGCAGTCCCTGGTCCGATGGATGCACAGGTACGGCCCGATAGGCCTCCCGCAGGTCAAGCTTCGCCCGTAGGCATCCCTTTCCCAGCGTATGAATTAGCTCGGCTGCCGTGTCTACGGATGTATAGCAGACGGAACAGAGCTCCCGAGATATTGCATCGTTAACGCTGTTCCCTTCTGGGGACGATAAGTCTGTTATCAAGCGCCATTTGTCGGGCTTATACCTCTTCGGAATCACTCCGAATGGACTAATCTGTATTGAAGGGGGGACCAGATCGGGACTAGGTTGGAGAGGTAGCATTCTACCCAGATCTACTTCTCGCTGCAGATATGCTGATACCACTTCGGGATGCTCGTATGCCGATTTTAGGTTCCGTCGGGAAGGTTTTTGTTCTGTCTTTTGGTTCACCCTAATGCGAAAGCCATGGCTAATACCTCGGATGATGTATGAGCCAGCGGCTGTCTGGAAAGGCGTCCAGGGAAGACAGCCAGACTGGAAAACGCTCAGTGTCATCCTGCGTGAGCTGTCAGGTGGCACCGTGTTCTCGTCGGGGTGGTAGTGTGACCGCCTTATGCACAGTGATCGTCGGGGTGATGCCCCTTCCAGGTCTAGCAGGTCTTGGGTAAATTATGAAGAGACCCCGAGAAAAGTTAAATATGGGGTGGTCCGGTTTGGCTCTACACGAAGGTGGGAGAGAGGGGTAGGAGTATCACGTTTGGACTGGGTATGCTTAGGTAGAAACCCCCCCTTTATTATCGCTTCGTGTGCCTGTAGGCATTTTGTTTACTTTACTACGTAGTAACACCACACAATGAGTGGGTTGGTAATGGCAGCGATATGATAGATCAGAGTTAGTTTGTCGTCCCTAGGCCTACACCCGCCTGGTTGTCCCATCGGGTGCTGTGTGTGGGTGGGAGATGTTCTTTGCACGTGCACCGACCGTTGATGTGGACAGTAGCAGTTGGAACAGACATGAGCAAAGGTACAGTTTCCCGGAAAAGCGCAAGCTCCCTTGTTCCAGGAGTGGCATACAGGTCTCTGGCGGCCATATGGGGATGGCCGTTTTCCTTTCTTGCCGGACGGTCTGGGCCCATGCCCATTGCGTTGTAAATGCGGTGTAGTTAAGCTCATAGGGGGAGTGATAGGCTTTGAGAGGGAGGATAGCACCTACGGCACATTGGGCAGTTGTATGGTCTACCTCCTGGCAGTGCTGGCATGGGTGACAATCTTATCCCCGTTGATTGGCAACATACACTTGATGTAGGGAGGCGTCTATGTAGTTCCAGGGGGTAGAGGTGCCCTGGTGATCCCGGCGGAAGACTGCGTCGTATGTCAACCACCCGGCCCCCCCAACTTGTTCGCCTCCCTCACAACAGACGCATATAAGCGAGCATGTCCGCCACCCTCTCCGGGTGTGCCCCCGCCACAATTGCTACATAGGTTGCGAAGGAAGACACCCACGTCATAAGTGCCCGTTCGCCGCCTATCTCTCGCTGACCCAGTTGTTTCTGTTGGATAATACCAGACGGCAAGGCGGCCATCCTCTCTGCCAGCGCAATGTTGTCTGGGAGTAACTCCCGCATCTCGACGTACTCCAATGCTTGTATTTTCTTTACTAGCTTGCCCGGGATCGGAGCAATGCTGCTAGCCACCCTGAAGGGAGTGGGATTGGGGACCTTTTGCGGTGAGCCCACGGGAGTTTCTTTCGCAGCCGAGATGAGCGGTGTCACCGATGTTGTTGTAGTGCTTGGGTGGAAGACTGCAGATGCGCTGGCCGCCGAGAACAGAGGGAGGCTCTCCAGGGAAAGAGGTAATGAAGATGGGGATGAAGAGACGCAGCGGTTGGGGGGAGAACCATTACTCCTGGGGAATGACAGACATTTTGAGGACCCCCTTTCCTCACGTTATGGGAGACCGACGGTATTGCCGAGGGACTGTCGGTACAATAGTTCCCCCGCGCGTGCGCAGACAGGGCCGTATAATTTAAATAGTCATAAGCCCCAGCAGCACTAACCTGAACTTGCCGGGTCGGGGCTCCGCAATGCTGCCGCGACCGCTGCGGCTACCTCTTCCCTTATGAGACTCCGCACAGATGCCTCTGTTAACGATCGGGACTCGATGCCCGTGGAGGGGCCCCCGCCCGTGGTTGGGTCCGCGTCGTCCATAGAAAAGAAAATGAGGCACACGCTGGCCTCGCACAACTGAGGAACACGCTGTCCTCGCCGCCCCGCCACCTGCCGGCGACGGTAACTCAGCACTGGGAACTGCCTGCGTGCTGCTGTTGCTTCCCAGTTTGCACGTGGTTGCGGTATGCACATGCGCAGTTGCGAGCCGCTGAGGAGGCGCCACCGTGGGCAGAGGTGGGGCACCCCACCTCCCCCAGCCTAGCAACGGTATGTCCCCCCCATTAACTTCGTCTAATTTTCATTAAACGCCATATAGTTCCCTTGTGCCCTCCCCACCGGATATTGAGGTTGGTACAAACATATTCCTCCTGATTCACCGGTATGTCATATTTCCTCATTAGTTTTGTATCTTACTGGTCTAGTTTCCTCATTTAATAGGTGTATTTTTGTAGGCGATTTTAATTTCCCACACATTAATTGGTCATTCTTAATTGGTTCTTCCATATCATCTAATACTTTTTGCGAGTTTATTTTTGATTGTAATTTAACTCAACATGTAACTCAACCCACTCATACAAAAGGGAATACACTTGATCTTGTACTCACCACTCCTTCTGTTATCATTGAGCACATTTCAGTCAATTCACAACATTTATCTTTTTATTATTTCTTTTTATGTATAATTATGTTGCCCCCCTCCAACAAATAATTATAAGTCCCTGTATGTATTTGACTTCTCCAAGGCTAACTTTACTGATCTCTGTTCATTCTTATTAGATTTTGATTTCAGCATCTGTTTTCAGAGTCATGACATTGAGTTCATTTGGTCCACTATGAAATCAGTTCTTTTTTTAGCTATATCCACGTTTGTCCCAAAGATTTACTTGAAACGACATAACGAACCAAAATGGTTCAACTCGGACATCCGTCATCATCATAACTGCCTTCGAACCATGAAAAGAAAGTGTAAGTCACATCCAACTCCAAATTGAATTATCTGAGATTTCTCTGACTGCCAAGGCAGCCCAAGCAAAAGCCCAGTATGAAACCAACTTAATTGAGTCTTTTAAAACCCACAATTCCTCAGCCATCTATCGTTACATCCGTGCCACCTCTGAGCAAGACGTCATTCCACCAGCCGTTACTCTCGGGGTCGATACATGTGCAGTCTCCGACTATGACAAAGCTTGCTTATTCAATGAGTACTTTCACTCCATTTTCACTAGGAGCTCTTTCCAAATTCCTCCAGTACGTGAGCTGTTTACCCCACTGTCAAATACAAGTGAGATTGACATTTCTGAATTGGACGTGTATGCTCTAAAATCACTAGATCCATCGAAATCCTCTGGTATTAGTGCAGAGATCTTAAAGAAATGTGCCATTGCACTCTACCAGCCACTTCACCGTATATTCTCTTTGAGCCTGTCTCAATATTACATCCCGTTGGAGTGGCGCACACATCTAATAAGACCAATATTTAAATCCGGAGAGAGACAGCAAGTCATGAATTACAGGCCTATCCATTACTCTGTGTGGTGTCCACAGTATTAGTCTATAACAGTATAATTGACTTTGTAGGAGTTCCGTATCTACAATTCAATTTGGATTCCTAAAAGGGCATTCTTCCTTGCAACAGCTTTTGATATTCTGGAACACAGTCATTAATGTGTCTCAAACTGATGTTATTGACCTAGACTTCAGGAAGGCATTCTACTCTGTTTCCCACAACGAACTCTTGCTTAAACTCTGGAATTTTTGTATCACTGGCAGCCTTTGGATGTGGTTTAAAGCATATCTAACTGATAGGCATCAGTATGTGTCAGTTGGCAATTCAACTTCAGGAATTTTACCTGTCATCTCTGGGGTCCCTCAGGGCAGTATTCTGGGACCACTTTTATTTCTCATCTCTATTAACGATCTCCCAGATAAACGGTCAATGTCTGCTTTTTGCTGATGACGCTAAATGCTTTTGGCCTATTTCATCGAGGGCTGACTGTCTTTCTCTGCAATCTGACCTATCCTTATTAGCTGACTGGAGCTCCATTTTGGAAGCTCTCTTTCAACGAGAACAAATGTCTATCATTCGTTTTACTAGAAGTCTATCTAATGCAATTCTTTTCTACACCATCAACAACACAACCTTATCTTCAGTCGGTACTCAGAAGGACCTTGGAGTGATTTTATCATCTGGAAACCTCACTACTTATTAATTATACGCAGGGCTTACAAAATGCTTGGGTTGATATGTCGTATTTTCTCATCTGTCAGTAATATCTCTGCTAAACGCTGTCTCTATCTCTCCCTCATCCGTTCTCATCTCCTATACTGTTCTCCCTTGTGGCGCCCACAACTCTTAGAAGTCTTGAATCTGTGCAGAGGAGAGCAACTAAGTTCATTATCAAAAATTTTTCTATGGATTATCGTGACAGACTAATCAGCCTCAAAATGATCCCACTAATGATGGAGTATGAAATCGCAGACATTATGTTTTTCACCAAATCACTGAAAGATCCGTCACATCGTTTTAATATTGAAGATTATATCTCTTTTAGCATCTCCAAAACTACCCGATGATCTTCGTATCTAAAGCTTCGTCATAAAGTGTCAAAAACTAATTTCCAAGGTCACTTTTATTTCTACCGAATCCCACGACTGTGGAACTCTTTGCCATTACTCGGCACTAGTTTGTCTATTCCAACCACTCGGGCTAAACTGAGAGAGCACTTCTGGAACCACTTCATTACCCACTTTGACCCCAACAATGTATGCACATATCACTACCTTTGTCCATACCTCAACAGTTCCAAGCTTCCAATAAAAACTCAATTTAATCGTTTATTGTAGCAATCTCTAACTATGTGAGTTTTCTGTTGAGGCTGCTTGCTCTTTAGCTTGCAGACCTTCGGTACAGATCAGGTCTTTTTCTTCTCATCTTTATACCACTTATCTCAATCACACCAACTCTTTCTGTACTGAAAAGTTATAATAATAAATAATAATAATAATAATAAGCCAATGCACGTACAAAAGCCATCTCAATCCTTAGCACTCTCCTTTCTCTTTCTTCCCCCATACAAACACACACACACATTCACAGTAATAAAATCCCCATTACCATCCCTATGATTGTAGTAAAAAACCACAAGCATGCCCAGGGGCCCACGCAATTATTGGGTTACCACTACTCCACCAGGTGGTTGGAAGAAGATGCCAGCAGGCATAACTCAAGGCAGGTATGCGTATGTTGTCTAATCTTGCCACAACAAGGCAGTAGGATGTAGGTAAACTTCCTGTGCGTGCAATTACCTTCTTTTACTGTCACAACCTTAAAATAGGACTTAGAAAAACGGACAAACTGAACTATAGCACGACGAACTAAAAGCTTAGCAAACTGACAATACTGCGTACATACCAGACTCGGTTACGAGGGAGTGGTCCCACCTCAGTGGTAGTGAGGCACAGGTCGGGAGATTAAAGGGACTGAAGCCTGTGTGTGACCTACTCAGTGATCTGCTGAGGAGCTCCCCTAATGACTGGTATTGACAGACAGACAAGACAGAGATACAAAGTTTGCTAGTTTTTAGGTTTCAGGGTAGGTAGTGGGACTACCGTGTGCAGGCGTTAAATAATTAAATGTGTGTGTGTGTGTATCAGAGCGTCGGTAGACGGTCCATATAGGGATGACACGAGTGAAATCTCACGTGATCCGCGTACAAAACGCTTCAAAAATCAGCGAGAATGACTCACCATGGCTTCAAAATCACTAGCAATAGTCTAGAGGCCAATACCTAGCTATACATATGCCCCATGATTTCCTACGTGCCCTCAGTTCCCCACCAGAGAATTCGTTCTTACGCGATTTTCGAATCGTCTCTTCTTCAGACCCGCTAGCTCCTTACCGGAAGCATTTGAAGCATGACACCATCCCTATATCTTTGTCTCATATTAAACTTTACTTGTGAACAATAACACAAAGATATAGGTATGGTGTCATGTAGCTTTGTGCATCTTTACTGTGTAATGACCCCTTGTTTCTTCTTTTTTGGTGCTTCAAATCATCCCTATATCCCCCTTCATTTTGAAGAAATGATTTTTCCACTTGTAATTATATAAGCCAATGCATGTGACCACGGACAGGATCCCCAGTGCTCTTTCATTCTTCCCTTCCCCCATGCAAACGCACACATACCCATAAAGTATGCATACAGAGTGAATGTTTTGTGACAGCCACATGGAAAACGATAAGCTAACTATGAAACGAATTCTGTCAGCTACTTGCACTGGTGTGGTCAAATCGCCTATGCTGAGTTTACCCCCCCCCAAACACACACACACACACACATTCAGAGTAAAAAATCCCCTTTGCCATCCCTATAATTGTGGTGAAAAAACCACAAGCATGCCTTGTTGAAGTGGGACGTCGTGCAGTGGTTCAGTGTTTATGCGGGTGAAATTACACCTTGCAGTGCGTCATCACGGACAGTATTATAAGACATGGGTTGCTTGTTTAGTCAGTAGCGACCACACTAGTTTATCTTTGTGCATATCAAGTGGATTTCACTTGTAATCAAGGACAAGAGATAGCACCAAATTGAACCATGCAAAGAATGTTGGCACAGTATTTCGATATATCCACAGTAAAAATACACCACATTTGACACGAAAGAATAATTATGTTTATTTTGATATGAATGTATCACTGGACAAACGCTTGCTTGTCTTTGCAACCAGGATATTTCACCACAGCTTGTTAACATAACACAAAAGTCATTAGTTTCTAGACATTCTCAGAGGGAGTGAAATGTTATTTTTAAAATTACCCACCAAGTCTTACTTATTATGATGCATCCTTCTGTACTATGTACTTGCATGGATTAGCTATGCCATACGACATCACACAATTTGTTAGTAAACTACAACATGTGCTGTAGAAGACGATGCTTATAGCACACTAACTGCCAAAAGGTTATAACACCAAAATACGCCACGGTTTCCTCCAGGAGGAAAACAAACTAATGTGCAAATCATGTTAATCTTCGATAACTGATGAAAACACTCGTGTTTACTGATTGGTTGGTGCGCATGTTCAAAGCGGGCATACGGTTGTCATTATGATGTGTGTGTGCAACTTCACTCAACAACTTTACTACTTGGTCATACCAGACTCTACCTGTGCCTCATTATCAAACCACCTTCCTCCACTTACGCAACTATTCACTAACCACACAAGCATCACAAAACATGGCATGCAGAAGAATTAATAACGATCCACCATAATGTAATTATTATAATATTATGTGCTACTTTATATACCAGGATTAGAGGCATATAGGTAGCTTGCTAATGTGGGAATAATTATTTGACGGGCACCATGCACATACAATAATGTTCTAAATACGTGGGAAAATTGAACTCCTCACACGTAATTGGCAAAAAATGTGTGCCATTCGTTCTAGTTAACTACATAGGTGTACAACAAACTCAGGGTATCCACATGCTGTTCCATTGAACGAGGCACTAATAAGATAGCTTTCCAGAGAGAGAGCTCCTTCTCTATGCCCATCACCCACGACTTCCTTACGCAGAAGCCTCTCAATTGTGCTCAGTTCTCCCTCCAGACTGATGCTTCTCCAAAAGGGCATGGCATGGCCCTCAACAGTAATGTCGGTCTGTTCAACAGCTACATGATGAATACAGTGGGTGACCCTGCTCTTTATCAGTGAGAAATTTTGGTTTGTTTTGACGACACAAGACGAAGTGTATCTTCTTTGGCAAGGCCACATTCCAATGAACTAGTTGAACCTACAGATGATTTGAAATGGGAAGAGACCATGTGTGCCTATGTGCTATAAATTCTGTGTCATACCATTAGTTGCTGTGCAAACCCTCGTGGCAAAAACCTGCAGCAGCAAAAAGCACTGCCAATTATCCACAGCGTCTAACCCGTCTACAGAGTCAGTTTCATGCTCCAAAACAGAGACTAGCTGCGTCAGTGGGTAGAAATACGGGACTAAATAAATATTCCCAGAGTAACTTTATCCCTCCACAGTCCACTGCACTGGCTAAAGCTTGTCGAATATGCAAGTTTTTTCGTCGTTTAAGTTTCTTGCTCTGAAGCAGCTAGTATTACTTATAGAGGCTGCCTTATAGTTTGAAGTGCCAGAATAAGCATGACACACTGACACAAACCAACACACACACCCTCGCTCCACATGCACTCCTAATCACAATCATAGCAACAGCATGCATAGCTGCTCCAGCTTAAAACATTACTTACATTTTGTAACCAATTTGGCCAAAAAGGGCTTTATACTTTGGATATTTTTATGATCATAAGGATGGAACACGTCCTCCACCTGCGAGAAAACAATCCATAAATATTTGGCTCGGTAAAACACTGGCGAATTACCAGTGGCTTCAGCCATTTTTCGGCTCCATTTTCATGTCTCTCCAATCGAAGTTTCAGTTCCAGTTGCTGGCCATAGCGAAGTTTTACCTCTGACCTTGGAGAACACGGCACATACACGTCAGTACGCACCGGCTCGGTGGACCGCCAAGGCCGTATATCTAAGTGGCCGGGGAGGGGTACTGGGCGCATCCTGTAAGTCGAGAGTTGGGAGATGGGAAGAGTTGCCAATAAAGACGCGCCACTCAGTCGTCTCGGACATGGTTTTTGAGAGCGGTGCTCCTTGGGTGACATGCCCCGCATTTATCGTGCTATATACAATGCGCAGTAACGAGGCGTGGCCCAGTTGTCTAGTAATTAGTCTCCGACCCATGTATCCCTGGGAGATCTGGGGTTCGTAATTAACCCTCGGCGCGCATGCGCAGCGAGGGCGACTGTCTGTCTGTCTGTCTGTTTGTCTGTTACCTGCGACTACGCGCAACCGCGAGACAACAAAACAGCGATACCAACGGGTTCATCGCTACACTGGCGATTTTCGTATAACAAAAGGTTATGGCGTGAAAAGCAAGTCAACAAGCCAATATGCAAATTAGCACAGGCTTACCGCGTCCGCTCGCTCTGTGTATCTTGGAAGGCACAATAAGTCACAACGAAGGGCATGTATCGATTACTGTAGCTACTAGCCCGTGCCAGACTCTCCGCGAGTACCCTCGGCGAACTGCACATGCGCGATACCGCTAATGGACTGTGGGCTATTGGCGCGGTCTCCCGCTAGTAGCTCGCGGAGAGTCTGACACGGGCTAGCTACGATAGTAGATAGCATGCGGGAGTGGATACACACCCTTCACTGTAGCTTCATGTGCATCCAAGGTACACAGAGCAAGCGGATCAGGTACTGCGTTGATCGCGTCAAAGATACGCACGCGCACCGCTTATTGATGGGTTGGGCCACGCAACGCTGTCCGCGACCGTGCTAGTTTGTCGCTCTCGAACGCAGTCGTTTCAGCAAAATCGGCATTTTATTTTTCTAGCCCGTGTACCACTAACGCTGTTGGTATCGCTCATAAGCCGCCTCGTAGCCTGTAGTGCGAGAATAGTCGTAGACACAGACAGACAGACACACAGAACGACTGCAGTAACCCTCGCTGCGCATGCGCGCCGAGGGTTAAAACCCCAGTCCATCAATTAGTAGTATAGCGCATGCGCAGTTCGTCGAGGGACTGCGGTTTTCATGCTTACTTGCACCTTAAAGGTGCAAAGCGGTGTGCGCATGCGCGTGTTTTCGAAGTTATCTGCTATCTTCACCGTGGCTTCCTTTGAGCCGCCCTTGGACTAGTCAGTACACTCAAAGACTCCACTTCACAATAATTCTCTAGCCGGACGCAGGTTCTGATATTGACAACGGCCTGCTCCCTTGACTAAATGCTTGGAGAGAGAAGAGTAGCCTGTGTGCCGGTAGGCTGGATCCAACGAAGTCCAAAGTCAATGATACGGTGACATTGATCGGCTCTGGCAAGCCGTTGGACAACGTACATCTCTCTTGGTGTAACAGTCTCGCGCGATACCTGGTAGGTTTAGTAGAAGAGCGAGCCTGTTTGAGTTGAACAGTGAATAGCTCCTGCTGTTTCAAGTCGCCTAGGGCTCACTGTAAGTTTTCGAAACTTATGCATGCGCTCATAGCTTTAAGCTTTGAAGGTGCAAGAAGAGTGAAAACCGCTGTAGTGCTTTTCACATTACCTTGTTGCAATGTATGTATGCTAATGCAAAGTCATGTGTGAAAATTTCAAGGGGTAAAACTACTGCAGGTTTTCCCTGCCAGAAAGGTCTTAGACATATTGAGAATATACTTTAGTGTCCATAATTCTTTTTCACTGTCTTTATCTTCTTCAGGTGGGATTAAATTGCGGACCTACAGAAAATTACCTTCTACATATCCATCAACCTAAGTATCGCACAGCCATGGCAAGATTACGGACCAGCACACATTCACTGGCAATTGAGGTAGGAAGGTTCCATAAGCCCCAGGCCTCTCCCTGTAATGGATCGACTATGTACAGTCTGTGACATAATTGAAGACGAATATCATTTTTTGTGTGTGTGTCCACAATATTCATTAAAGAGGCAACAAATGGAAACAATGGTAGATAATCTCTTCCCTTACTATCGCTCTATGTCCCAGGAACAGAAGTTTATATTTTTACTCAGCCATTCCCACCCACAAGCGAACCACTCCGTATAATCCTTCATTTCTCATTCTTTCATCATGCACAATAGTAGTGAGCCACCCTGGCTCTTTAGTGGTCGTTAATAACCCTCGGCGCGCATGCGCAGCGAGGGTTACAGTACTTGGTCTGTGTGTCTGTTTGTCTGTCTGTCTGTCCGTTACCACGTTTTCTGCCACCACGCGCAACAAACCGGCCAAAAAGCGACACCAACGGGTTCACCGCTACATTTTGAAAGGGCGATTTTAACTGCGTTATAAAGTTATGGCGTGAAAACCAAGTCAATAAGCCAATATGCTAATTAGCACAGGCTTACCTCGACCGGGTCCGCTCGCTCCGTGGCCACAACGAAGGGCGTGTATGGACTGCTTCAGCGCTACACTGGCTTTATTATGATTTTCGTAAAAGTGCCGCGTTCAGAAGGAAAACCAAGTGAACAAGCCAATATGCAAATTAGCACAGTCTTACCTCGACCGGGTCCGTTTGCTCTGTGTACCTTGGAGGCACATGAAGTCACAACTAATTGCCTGTATCGACTCCCGCATGCTATCAACTACTGTAGCTAGCCCGTGTCAGACTCTCCGCGAGCTAGCGTGGAGACCACGAGTCGAGTAAACGCACTCTGATCTAATAGCCCAGCCCATCAAATTAGCAGTACCGCGCATGTGCAGTTCGGCGAGGGTTTGCTTCAAAAAGTAGTGTGGGGCTCATAATACTAGGCTCGTCGGCGGCGTTCAAAAGGAGGCGGTGGGGCTCGAGATGATGCCGCACGTTTTGCTACTGACTTTAGCCGTCAGTATCTACTGTGGGTGCTCTACGCCTACAAGGCGAGGTAAGCTAGTTGCATGTAGGGTAGCCTACGGACTGTTTTTGCGCCTCTAGACACGACCCCTGTGACGTACCTCACATACTTCGCGTTGGACAATCCGATGGAACTTCACCCTCTCACTATATCGGAATGTAGACGAATGCTCTAGTCCGATAATAGTACTTGGGGGCATACCAATTGGCAAAATTAGAGCTCCTAATATCTCGGTAAGATAGGACAGTACAGTAATAAGTACATTAGCTAAAACCAGTATATACCCAATTGCTACATTTCTAGGTTTGTGAGAATGGGGTTATCTAACTGAGCCAACCCATTTGAGATCATCTCTCTGCGTGTGTAGAGGCGAGTTTAAAACTTGTGAAGATCCCGGAGAATCTATATATGCCATCGCACCGTTTGGAGTAATATCAACAACGTCTTTGCAACGCACAATGCCAGCATATCCTATCAAACTTCGAGCGAAGCAACAGTTCGCACACTAGGATTTTTGAACGTGTCTTGGGCTGGATCTCTCGTGAGCAAAATATGGCGGGGAGTATACAGTTTTTCCAACGTGGATGCTAGTTGCTCAATGGAAAAATGTGCATCCGTATACCAGGCCAAATGAGATCGATCCAAGGGTGAGTTCTTTGCCGTGTGACTATAGATTCACAAGTGTTTTATTTATTTTAGACAAATACCTTGAAACAATACTAGTGACCGATGGAACACAAACATATGCTGTTTTCACATACAACTGTTCAGACCTGGGCTGGGCTAGAGCTTCAAATACTTTTGTGGCTCTGACTGCTCATTATATTGGAAATTACATTGGTGGAAGTTTCACTAATTATTACCGAAACAAGAGCCTATGGGTTGCAAATAGATAATAGAACAGCTAACATATCCAGAGCTGCTTCATGCTCTAATCCGACAACATGGAACAATTTCTATTCAATCTTACACCTCAGCGTAGCCACCCCTTTATTAGTAAAAATAACAGACAAAATTATTATTATTCAGGAGTCGTGAATATTACTGTAAGAGAGGAAACAGTGCAGTAGTAATTGGAGGTCCCATTTACTATTCAATTCTACATCAGCACATTTGTACAGCAAGATTTATGATAAAGCTTTCGTTTGTTCCTGAAATTCCATACACCACGGAAAATTCTTCCCATTATTTTGCATGCAATGGACTGAGTGAAGCAGTTACAATTGCGTGGCATTGAGATCATTACCATCTGCTCAGCTGGAAGTGTGAATGTGACTGTTTTAAATGTAACGAGGGAGCATGGGAGAAATATACCGTTTCTGTAAATGTTGATGAAACAGTAGGTGACACAGCCTTGAGCAATCTCAAGCTTGTAGTGGATGAACTATTAATTAGTGCAGTTTTAGATACATGAATGCCTTAATAAAAGGAAGATGTCTTTCTTCTGAAAACCTCCTTCTGAAGACTTCAGATCCATTGCTACTAACTTCAGATGACATTGCTCTGCGAGTGCTGATTGCGAGATCTACAGGCAGCTGCAACTTACCCATGCAAATGTGGGAAAGTTTGTAATAACAGTAGTTTAACTTTTTTTTACACTTATAGGTTCGACAAAATTATTTGAAAACGATTGATAACCTGATGCAGGCAGATGGCAGTTTATTGTACAAGTCAAATAGAAAACAATTCCTCTCTAGGTGAGTTTAGTTGGTGACACACAATCACTTACCTCAATACTTCAAAAATTCTCAGGATACTAGACACCTCAGGAGTTACACTAAATGTAGAACTACCTGCTAATATGACTAATGAGACATATGTTTGTGATACCTATGGCTTTGTACTTTTCGACATAAACCAAAGCAATTCATGAAGAGAACATGGTGCCAACCTAGGACCTCCTGAAGTAGTGAAGAACATTACAATACCAGTGAATATCAGCTTCTCTGGTGACATAGAGAAGAGGAGATTAACAGTGTTCGTAGAAGTTAACGACAACATGTCAAATGAGCTTAGACTCTCGGTAGTGGTTTACAGACAGGAGAACTTGTTTCAGAATAATGAAACTGGTGCGAATATTAATCAGCAGTAGTGTCAATATCAGGAAAACCTAGTAGTGGTCACATCATGAACCATGGGTTTCTAAGATTGTGAAGATGATGAGAGTGAAAGTGGAAATGAGGTTAGAAAAATCAAAATATAAAGTGTTACTGAGCCATCCATTCCATGCAGCATCACGAGTCTGCTCAATTTCAATCACTGGGAAATGGTAGACAATCTCTAAAGTATAATACATAGTCATCAAAGTGTAGCTTTATGTAGGCTGTGGCAGGGGAGCATGGTCCAGCGATAGCTGTGTG